GAGGAGGAAAATGAGGTTGATAATAACTAGTAGATGCTTGATAGTGGTCGCTGGTCGCTGGTTGCTGGTTGCTGGTTGCTGGTTCACGGTAGAGCGGTAACGTAATACAGATACGGTAATACAGCTTTCAATAGAGGCCCTGGGTGGTGTTTTTGCATTACCGAAATTACGAGAAAAACGAACGTCCAACCTCCGTCTTTTCGTTTCTTCGTCTCTTTTTTTCGTCCTTTTCAGCATTTCCAACTCCAACCTCCCGACTCTCTGCTCGACTTGACTCGACGTCGCTCGACATCTCTTGATCGCCCTGCCCGATGCACCGCTGCCCCTCGACCGCCCCTCGCCAGTAGAGCCAGCGAGTCGAACGATAAAACGGTCGAGGTTGGCCTCCTCCGTCGCATGTCGCTGCCGCCCCAGCCAGCCGCTGATGCTGCTCCCTCGCCAGCCTTGAACGGACGACCTCAAACCACCCAACTCGCCCTTCTGCTTCAGATAGACAACATACCCTCCCTCCGCCTGCAGATTCGCCCGTAAAGCGCTTCAGCAGCGACCCCGAGCACCGAGAGACCCTTTGTCCTGACCAAAAAGCGTCACGATGGAGGCTTCAGTAGCCCACCGGCCATGGGAAGACAGCCGGCCTGCGCCCAACACCAACGGCCATAACGGCAGCCAGACCACCATCACCACCCTACCGTCCATCTCGACCCTGACGGCAGCCATGCAGGTCGACAAGGCGCCTATACCGGTCGCTTCTGGTGAGAAATCACCTGCCCAGGCCTCCATGAACACCCTCGAACGAGACTCGGGCACCTGGTCAATGCCTCAGAGTACCCGTACGTCTAACCTCTCCCTTTTCTCCCGTACTTCCCTTTTTTTTATTTTGGGACACACTCAGCACAGTTCATGGTTGTATCGTCAAAGGCTGGTAAGGCTAATACTTGTCACAGGCTCGTCGACGTATTCTAGCACCACGAACAATACCAATGGCTACCATCAGCACTCGTTTCTCATATCTTCGCAGCAGTCGCCCAATCGGCTGTCAGGTGTCTCTGAGCCTCCTGCTGCTCCCACTGCGGTCTCCTCGCCGGTCTCCAGCCATGCCTCGCCAGGCCAGAACCCGATCCTGCCATCCATCAACCAGGCTATGGACCCTCACCAGCAACAGCAACTCCAGCAGCACCAGCAGCAGCAGCAACAACAACAACAAGGCCAAAGACAGGACTACACCGAGTCGCGCCGCAGCAGTATCGACAGCCGCATGAATCAGGGTATCTCAGCACTTCAGATCAACCCAACTTCGCCATACCATAGCACCAATGCGTCTCAATCATCAGTCGTCTCCGGCATGCCTCGAGACCGCATGAGCTACTCGCACCATACAACAACTTCGTCTCGTTTCCCTCCAGGCCAATCGGCTAACCATCAACCACCTCTCTCACCCCTAGGCCCTCGCTCACAGGATCACCGTAGTCAATTCCCCGCCGGACGCACCGCCCCTCCCATCTCGTCGAATCCTCGTCCGGAAGAGTTCCACGCTGATTCCCCCGTGCCTGGTCAGGCGTATGCCTTCCCCGATCCGAGCATATCGCACCACCACCATTCTTCCCTTAATGCGCAAGGCCCCGCGCCGCCGATTTCAAACAATCCCCGGCCAGAGACCTTCCATGCAGAGAACCCGGTTCCCGGACAGGCCTATGCGTTCCCAGATCCGAGCTTTAGTCGAGCGTCGACCATCTCCGCGCAGACGGACAGACCGTCAACCCAGTTCACGAGACGACATTCCACCGCTGAATCGATGAATAGCAGTATCTATACTACAGAGTCGAGACTCCCAGCCGGGCAGCAGGGTACATATAACCAAACCCTCCTAATATAATAGAGTTGGATCTGTACTAATTATCTTATCTATAGAACTGCCTCAAAGTGTCCACCACCACTCTCTTCAACACCGCCAGGTCCGCAATATAATAGGAGAAGGCGACCCGAACGGTGCAACACCCTATAGCCGCACTCCCGAACTCCGAGTGACGCACAAACTCGCCGAACGCAAACGACGCAGTGAAATGAAGGACTGCTTCGAAGTACTCCGCGCCCGTCTACCTTCTTCCCAAAACAACAAGTCAAGTAAATGGGAAACCCTCACTCGGGCAATCGACTACATCAACCAGCTCGAGAAAACAGCTTCTCAGTCCCGCGCCGAGACAAACCAGCTACGCATGGAGCTAGAAGAGATGCGCGCGCAGCTAAGCCAGGTTCAATCTCAGCCTCAACAACCGCCGCAACAGCAACAGCAGCAACAACAGCCGCCCCTTACTCGACGGGCTAGTTTTGAACCATCCTCGTTGCAGCAACAGCAGCAGCAGCAACAAATGCAAGTCAACGGTAACGGTGGTCTTACTCCACCACAGAACCCAAGCACGCTGTTCCAGACCCACGGCCATGTTCAGCCTCACCATAGCCACTGTGCACATCATCCGCAGCTCCCGGCCGCACCACCACCAGCACACAGCCACTTCTCTCCCTCGTCCAACGTGACGCCGACAACACATGCCTCGCCGGATCCATCGCGGACACTACCGCCGCTAATGAACGGATCCCTGGCCCCCATGCAGGGTGTCCAATATACCGACGAGCGGAGATGATCCCCTCTAAACTAACATAACTATACCATACCATGCTCCCAAAGCATTTATTCCCTCATTCTTGATTCTTTTTTCTTTCTTTCTTCCTTTTTCACTACTGGTTTTCCAACTATCAACATACCTACCGGTCTGGTCCTCACGACGTCTCAGGATGACTATTTCTTTTTCTTCTACTTACCTCCGCCTTTCTTCAGATATACATTCTTCGAGCTCGGGTTTCCTTCCCGCCTTGACCCGTCGACGTTCGCGTCAGACATCTCATTTGTTCAATGTTTTGCGCAAAGATATCCCTCTACCATCTTATCTACCGCCTACAGTTCCTCTTTTCTGGGCCTAGAAATTTGCTCTTAACGTCGTTTCCTTACACTTATACCACTAACCTACACAACACACCATGACACCACTTCATTTCACTTCGTGATTGTCCTTTCTAAAACGTACTCTTTTACTACTCCCACCCAGCCCATCCACCCCCTCGACCTGACCTACAATTGGTCCACCTCCCAACCTAAATCTTGATATCCGTTCGTGTGTATGCTTTACCCTGCGAGTGACCAAAACGGCGTGCTTGGAGTGGTCTATTTGACTTGACTTGCTATGAATGTTTGTTTTTCCTTTGATTTTTTGGCTCTGGCTCTGCGTGTCTTTACACTTATCGACCAACAAATCTTCCGACCGACCTATCTGTTTATTTTTCTCTCTATCTCTCTATCTATCGGCTCATTTTGGAGTTCATATACTCGCTTCCTTGTCTTTTTCCTTTTCCTATTTTTTTTTTGTGTTTCCTACCAGTGTTATCGTCTCTTTGGAATGGGAATGGGAAACATGCTTCGCATGTGATTTCTACGGTTCGGTCTTGTCTTCTCTTGTTAGATAGTCAGAGAGAGAGAATAAGTGAATGAGAGAAAGAACAATGACTGACTGACTGGCTTTGATTAAGTGTGGTTTATGTAGAGTGACTAAGAATAGAAGAGCCTTCCCCATGTTTATAGAGAGCCTGTTATTATACAAGATGCGTTATACATTAAGTGGTAGCCTTGTTGGTAAAATGCATGCAGGTTTTTCATTTATACATTGTGACGGACGTGACTGAGAGCATATTAATTATATTGGTCCCATGTCAGGTGTCGGGTACTTCAAGGCTTCTTCGCTCCGTACCTTGACCTCCAAAATGCCCGTTGTCGATACATAGTGAATAAGTTACATATCCTTCAACTTCTCAAGGTCATCATGTAAAGTTCGCGCAGTGTCATTAGCCATCTGCGCAAATCCCGCTGCATAATCATCAGCTTAGAAGTGGTGGCCTCATTTAAATGTGCAGGGCTTGTATTGCATCGCATACCATCAGCAGTCCCATCCAAAACCATATTATGCATCTTTCCATTCAGATATATAGTTGCTGAACTTGTATTCGAGTCTGTCTGACGCGGAAGACTCATGGGTATGCGGAGCTGGGGATATCTCGATGGCCCCTCAACTCCGAAGTGCTGTGAGTCATGGAAAAAAGTGGCCTTGCACGTCTCATTCGTGGCCCCAGTGGAAGTTCCCGTCGTCGGTTCGTTCAACGCAAGAGATGCTGCATGGAACGCCCTTCCGATATCCGTGGGGACCAGCACATATGTTTGGCCCGGCTCGCCGACGATAATGGGCACTTTGGTGGTGGTCGGAACACCTTCCACGTCGTAGTTGGTGAAGTCTCCTGTGACTTGGTGGAAATGGCGTCTGACGGCCCTGGAGGAGCCTCCGCGTAACGTCCGCGGAAGGTAACGCAGCATGCTTATGGAGTTAGGTTGAGGTCGTGGGTGAATTTCTCGATACAGATTTGTAGTATCTGCCTAGGTCTTCTGTGCTGATCTGATTAATAACGAGGGCAACCTGAGCTTGTGCGAGACCGCCGCTTTCGCCATGTAAGCCACCTTGCAGATGATGTCCGTTGATTTTCAGGAACATGTCAGCAGCCACGAGAGCGGTGCGCTTGTTCCCGTCCTGGTAGGCGTGGTTTCTCATGATTTTCTCAGAGAGGTTAGCGGCTAGTTGGAAGATGTCTTCTTGGCCAGCGTAGTGATTCAGGTTCATGGGCGAGTGGACTGCGGACTCGAGCAGGTTAGGTTGGGTTGGGACTGTGTTGGGAGAAATGATGGCTGCATGAAGGCGCTTCACTTGGGACATGGTCAAAAAGCGAATGTTGGGTGGCATCTTCGCTGGTGTATGTTGATGGCTTGGTGGCTGAGATGAGTTCTGACAGAAAGTGATTCAAAGTAAGTAATGTTCTAGATATGATTAATGCGGGAGAGGTCATACACAGTACCTTACTAGGAGAAGAAGAGGTACTCACCCTCTTCCCTACTCTTATTACACTTCTCTCCCTTGATCTCCACATATACTATCTTGCCGTATTTATCCCTCTACTACCGCAACCCCAACGCAGGAAGAGAAGAAGACAAAATAAGTACCACTTTTACCCCAGGTAAGCTTCTGTGTATACCCATGACCATGCTAGCTAGAATTAGAAGATCTATCCTGACTGCCTGACTCTTTTGATGAAGTCGAATAAAAATCTTTAACACTAAAAATAGCAAACTTTTGAGTTAACTTTTACCCGGCGCTAAGAGAAACAAGCTGCAGCCAATCACATCGCGGGAAGCCCAACTCGAGTCACTCAACGTCCAGGGGCAGCGATGCTTTTCACCTCCTCGGCCTTCCAACTGGCCCGCTGCATGCGGGAGAAGCAGCAGCCCCTTGCCCTGCACGGGCGGTTAGGGAGCTCTCTTCTGGCATTTGACAGGTTCCTTGACTCGATGGCAGGCCCTCCTGGGCTCTCCACTGCGTTTCTGCAGAAGTTCAGGACAGGGGCTTGATTGGCGGTGGATGATACCCCCGGGAAGCAAAGAGATGATATACATAGGTACAGGTCCAGGTTCCGTAGAAGAGGAGTGATTTTCTTCTACAGAGATGGGTACTTGTTTCTTTTCTCCCTCTTGTTCTTTTCTCTCTTGTACACCTTCTGTACTCTGCTCTATTCTATTCACTCTCTTCTAGACACTCAGGCTGCAGCGCTGTGCGTTGATCTACAGTCCGGATATACATTCACACTCACTCAGCATCAAGTCTGTTGAGCTTTACTATTCTTCTTTTACTATCTTTCTATTAATCACTATTCAAGCTGTTTTTTGTTTCTGCTGGCTATTGTTGCCATGGCGATTGTCTGAATAAACATACACATTCATTCTTCTGCTGCATGATAACAATGAGACTGTCTCGACAACAACAACATCAGCATCAATAACAACCTATACTTCCCGAACCGCCGTCAAAACTACCTAGGACACTCGCCACCATGTCCAACAACCCTTTTACGCCTTCTTACGGCCAAAGGCGTGATGGGCCTAAGCCGTCAGAGCTACAAATCCCCCAGATACCGACTTTCCCACTCTCTTCCCCCATACATGAAGAGCTACTCACGCCGTTCGATGACCTCGACTCCTCACCGGACCCTTCAAACCCATTCACGTCGCCACAGGGCGCGAAGGCGGAAACGTTCAGCTTTAACAACCCTTTCCTGAACCCAAAGGACGGCCTCGGCGGGATATCGAAACTAAAGGGTCGCTGGGGATCAGTCAAACAGCCAACTCGCGTTAACGTGACAAGAAGGTCACCCAAGCCTGGCTTAAACTTGGTCACGAACTTTTCTTCGCCTGGTGCGCAGAGCAGGACGTCTCAGTGGGCTGAACAGCAGCAACAACAGCGGCAAGACCAGGATGGGACAAAACATTTCAGTGAGTTTGCCGAGACGGATGGCCAGTCTATATCGACGTCTAGGTCTCTTGCCAGGACAAATTCGAAGAATCTACGAATAGATACTTCTCAGCTCAAGCCAAAATCAAGACCAGCACGCGTGGAAAAGCGTCAGTCTGCTCGAAAAGGCCCTATACGGTTGTTCCAGAAACCTCTTTCACCAGAGATGGCTGTCTCACCGTCTGATAGACCTATTGTTATAGGCGTGTCTGTCCCTCTAGGCTCACCGGCTGCTTTAGCGTTTAGCTCGGATGCAAGGTCCACTCCGGGAAGAGCGAATAGTATACATAGCCTACGCAGCCACGGAAACACCCCAGTTACTCCAACTATAGTTGTCACACCTGCCTGTGAAGAACGACACTGGAGATCAGACAAGATGGAGGAGGCCGTACCACCAAGACCCCGGCCAGCGTCAAGTATTTACTCAACAGCTACTCCCCTGGTAAGGGGTGTTAACAAGGTTGAAGATATCCCTCCAGTGCCCGCTCTTCCGCCGCCAGGAGCCTATGGTGGACAGGGGATAGATGATCCGTTTGGAACTATGGAGGCGATTTCAGAACGGCGAAGACGCGTACTTTCATCTGGGACTTTGTTTGAGGAGGAAGACTCCCCGTCAAGACAAATAACTCGGCCACGATCGTTTTCTAACAAGGAAATCAGCCGTAAAGAAGACGCACTTGTTACATCTACTAGCCGGTTCAGCCTGGAGACCATCTCTCCACGTCGACGATCTGAAGGTTGGTGGAACTACCTTCTCTCTCCCTTGCTATCTCGCTCTAGTACAATGACTACTATCAACACCCTTCACCGTAACGGATCCCAGGGTGATGACGAAGGACCTCCGCCTGTGCCAGAGTTACCAAGCAACACACGCCTACAGCTTGCTATACCAAACAGGCACGATGAGCCAACTTTGGCAAACAAGGAATGGCAGGACAAGCAAATTTCCGTTTTTTCACCCATTACTCCAGAAACAGCCACGGAAAAAGGGTCTCCTTCCGTTAAACTCCCTGCTTCGGGCTGGCGAGAACGGCTGGTTTCTGTCTTTTCTCCAATCACCCCCGACAGTGCAGGTACTTCCAAGGAGAAGCGTATACTAAGCAACGTCACTGAATGGCCTGGCATGGACCACTGGTACTTCCAACAGGAGAAAAGCCAGACGAAGGTTGATACTGGAAATCTTACCCCCAACACTACTGTGAAAAACCAGGGGAATGTCACTACTTCAACTAGAAACCGTGACAATGAAGAACATAGGACATCGCTTTGCTCTGCCGTCACGTCGCAGTCAATTCCGTTCATGATGTCGGATCCCTCCAGTCACCATGCGAGCGTCAGCACAGGTGCTAACCATAATTCCAGAAATATCTCCAACAATCAGTCCTTTGCCAGCTACAGGGGGGTGGCTACGAACAAGGACTCTAACCCAAATATTTGCAGGACTGATTCCCACAAAGACCAAAACACGAATAACCCGTTCTTTCAACAGTTTGTCGACTCTATTCGAGGTGAAGACGGTAGAAGACGCTCTGACTCTGCATCTACTATGATCGAAGAGGATGAACCCGATATTTCCCCCAACGTCCGCCATGCAACTGCCACCCCGATTTTTCACCACACCATGCCTACGATGGTAGGGACTCGTGGCCCGCCCCCTCCCAGAGCACCACCAGCAGCAGCACGACGAACTAGCGTATCGAGCTCTGGATCTGATTCTTCATGTTCTCCCGAGCCAACACCGGAGAGACCAAAGAATAAGATAGCGGGTATAGGAACTATCAAACGTAAGACAGTTCCAAAGTACCATGCCATTCTACCACCAGACAGACAATCACCCTTGGAATCACCGGGCCCTCTCTCTCCAGAAGCTCAAGCCACGTTGAACTCCGGTGGTATCCAAATGAATGATGTCCCTTTACCACGTCGGCCGGATAGGACGTATCTCCTACCTGCAACCAACGATTTCCCCCGCCACCCAAAGGTATCCCCAGTCATAATGCAGACACCAATCATCCGCGAGACTCCCAAGATAGGCATCACCAAAAAGAATGTCGAGTCCAAAACAGTAATACAACAGAAAAAGGTATCTCGTAAGGAGGTTCTTGGTCAGGACAGCAGTTTCTGGCGTGGCCAAAAGTGTCGATGCAAGCAGGGCTGTGCTGGGAATCGAGACTGTGAAGGTAGAAGGAAAAGACGAAAATGCTGCTGGATTATCATCATCTTGATATTGCTATTCCTCATCGGGTTGGGCATTTTGTTAGGCGTGTTGCTGACGAGGAAAGGTCCAGGCCAGAGCCAACCTCCAAGACCACCTGGTTCTGGGCCGCAGCCAACACCTGGACAAGAGCCGGGGCAGAAGATGGAAGACGATCGGTGGTTGAATCTCACTGGTTACCCGCCTATTCCAACTGGAATATCTACCGTTGCTGGCCCGAGTGCTGCCAATATCAACTCGGGCTGTATTGCACCAACAAGTATGTGGAGCTGCTCTTTGCCCAAGGAGATGCAGGACGCAAATAGACCGTTTGATGCGGACCAGCCTCGGTTCAAGATTGAAATCAAATTCAAGAACGGGACCTATCAGCATAGCACCACCACAGCAGATAAAGGGAAGAGAGAGGTACCTACCATTTCCAACCTGTTCGTTCTTGGAAACTGGGCGAGAAGACAATACCCCCTTGAACGCAGAGATGAATTCACTCCATCTCCAGCACCACCTAGTGTTGAAGAGCAATCATTTCTCGGAAATACTACTGACAAAACCGCCGCTCCATTCGAGGGAGAGGAAACACCCTTCTTCGTAACCGTTCTAGACACTGCTCCGCCAAAGGGTGTTCCTGGAACAGGAAACAGTGCTCGATTCCGCCGTAGTGAACCAGACGGTTTCCCTGACCTGTCCAAAATCATCCCTCCGCCAGCTCTTGATACAGATGGCACAGCTGCACCAGCAACTCTATACCCATTCCCTTCATCCCAGCCTCTCCGTCTATACGATCGAGGCTTACCAACAGAGCATTATGGGTTTTACACATACTACGATCGATCTATCTTCCTCAAATCCTCACGCCCCATAGGCGATGGCAAGGAAACTGGAAACATCCCTAGCGATCTCGATGGTGGCTCAACGAAATCCGCTGCAAGCGTCCAGTGCACATGGGCACAAACAAGGTTCCTCGTCCAGATATGGACTCAACCATCTAAAGCAGGATTGGAACTCATGTCACAATCCGGTGATCCTGGTCCAAAACCACCATCCTATGCAGAAGATTACAGACGGCCCGGTTCCTTGCCATACCCGATCACAATCACTCTGGATAGACATGGCGGTGACCCGAAGAAGAAATTCGTGTACTGCTATGGCCTAGATGTGGGCGGGAAGCCGATCCTGACAAAGAAGAAACTCCAGCTTGAACACCGTGATGTTGGCGGCGTGCTTGTTAATCCTGCACCGGGAATATTCAACATCTCATCTTCGCCGAAGAACAGCAAACGAGCGGATGTCCCTGGAATAGACGGCGGATCAGGCGGGTGCCACTGCGAATGGAGAAACTGGCTGAAGGCCTAGACCGTAAATGATTATGTTTTGACGTTTTGACATTGTTTGTTCGATAATACCCTAAGATTCCATTACTATTCTGCGTTAATCGTTTCTGATATTGTCTTTCTGTTCATCTTTTGCACTGACCGTACATACACGGACCCGACGCTTTCCTATGTCTTTCTTTTGTCCTATTCTTCCCCTCCCCACTGCATTGGCATTTTGGACATTGCATGTTTCATGGACATGAACCTCACGGAGCCGGAGCCTGGATTGTTATCCTGTCTGTACACATAGGTGGCATACACGGGAGTTTGGGTTTACTATGTTTTACGTGTTTTAGCTTGTTGACTGATAGTGTAGAGGATAATAATGAAAATGACTTTGATGTTTGAAAATATACCCTCGGCGTGGTCCGTCGGATTCTATAATTATCGTAGTATTCAGGGGTAGCCTAATAGCTTGATCCTAGAGGCAGTCAATTCAATGACAGCTGTGAATAATTACTTCACCGTTTAGCTTGACTCTCCCAGGACTTCTCGAGTGGCTATCTGGAGTAGTTAACCGAGATGTTCACTCCGGCTAAGTGAAATAAATTATTAACTAGTTGGCTAGGGGCTTCAATGCCTGCCAAGTGAATGGATCCCAGTGACGTCAGGGGGGATGCGCCAGCTATAAATTCGCCCAACTTTCCACTCCTCGAACTCCACGACCTGACATCAAACAACTTACTTCTCTATACCTTTTTATCCGGACGACTGCCGTATCCTAGCGTTCAATATCCCAGGCTTAGGACAGATACAACCAACTAGGCTACCACAGGGCACTAAAGGAGCATGCTTTACGATGGAGGCCATGATGTCAATGGTCACTGGCCCAATTCCAGCCCCGGACCCAGAAAGGAATAACTAGTTAAGCCCACAGATGTGGGTTACCACAACGGGAGTGTTTTTGACGCTCTGCCATGGCTCTTTTCTATCATAACTAGCCGTCGTGGTATCAAAAATCTCAGTGCAGCCCGCGCAAACCATGGACGACAAACCCAGCATCTCAACAACTTGCGACAATATGATTTCAAGATGGAATGCAGTTACTCATGGCGGTTCTATGCTCATGGGCGCCTCGAGTACATGGAGCAGCACGGTCCGGTTGTTATGATGGAGTGGTAGAGCAAGGACGAGTTCATGTCGTTATACCCCAAAAGACCAACCGAGGCGATTGAGGACTGGCTCAGCGATAGAACGAACGAGTGGCTAAAGGTCATAGACCCGGACCAGCTAGTGAAGGAAGCTGAGGTGGCTTCACGTTGATCGACTGCTAGAGAGAGCATCAAAGAGAAGTATGACTTTGGATAAGGCCATCATCCGTGCAGGAGATCAATACTTTTGTCAAGACCTCGTCGTTCGTCCATCAAAAGGGGGTTCGTTGTTCGTTTCCCAGCAAAAGTCCCGCGGCTCGGTAGTTAAACAGATTCAAGTTGGACATTTTACAAAGCTGGTCAAACAAGATTTTCGCCATCCTACAAACTGTGTCGTGAAGATAACCGCCACTACATGACTGCACCCTAGAGGATGAGAGGTGCTCGACCGTGGACAAAATCCTTTAACTGTCATGAGTATCAATCAATTTGCACACGGTTGAACGGCCCTATGACCAACTACCCTATCACTACTCCCTCCAAATACCCTGCTGGGGTTCGTCGTCAAACAACCAGATGCTTCATTTACGCCAGTTTAATTCTCATTTCGGAGGCTACTATTGACGCCCAGGGATGGCTAGATCCAGCCGCAGACATTACTGCAAAGATATACCAGAAGACTCCCAATTCTTTTTTTGACACAATATGAACATGATTCCCTACGACGACAATTCACCAAGCTGACGGACAAAGTAACTAACTAGTTACTGGAACAACTGGGTTAAGGATACAAACATCAATACTCCGTCGGCGTCTCGTTTCCCCAGAGTTGCCAGTTGGGTATCCAAGCAAAGCAGCGGTTACTCCCATTTTGCTGCTTAACTCAACAGAGGCCTGTGAAACCATATCACAACTTGGATGTTGCTTCGGGGGCCCATCTACAAGCAAATACTTTAAAAAGGCCTGTGTTTGCTAGTTTGGCTGCTTTTGAACGATGCTCCCGGACGGATTTACGAGTGTTCGTCCTTGGTGCCACCGAAGTTACTGGTGACATGATGACACCGATGGCACTCGAAAGCACTAATTGGTTTACAACCCATCCACCAGTCAGAATGAAAGGAGTTCTATTTGGTGATTGATTAAACCATCCGACCGTCGTTGTCTCATTCGGAGTATAGCTTCGGCTTGCTGATCACTGGTGCAGGCTCACTCTTTTGGCTCAGTCGTTTTGATAAAGCACCTACGACAACTACATTTGTGCATTGCGTTGCAGACTATAGCATGATGAACAGCTTTGCTTCATGATTTCCATTTGCTCTTATTTCGTGAATTCTGCGGGTGTGAATTTACAAACCAAATGCAGAAATATACATCTGTTCGATACAGCTATGTGGCATACGTGGCCCCTCGCCGCCGATATGAGACATGCAACTGATTGGCCTCCGCAACATGTTAAGCTTACTGATAATCACGTCGTCATGGCCTTGCTTTATCTGGACCCAGATGTTCAACCAAAGGAGATATCGAGCCCTTCATGGCGGGTAACTGGATATATGATGCTCGAAAATATGTCACCGCTACTAGCACTCCTGGAGAGATGGATGACAATTCCGTAGATCGTAGGCGCAAGGTTCTCTGGGGTTGATGAATGTTCCGTGGAACGGCTCGCGTAGCGGGAGAAAACATCGGTAGTGGATGTGACCGCCGGCGAAAGTCTGCTGAAACCTGATACGGCCCGCCATATACCTTAGGTACTTAGCTCTTGGATATCTGGTTTTAGGGTATAATCTTCAAGTTTATGTTCCGGATCTGGTGCCTGGTTGAGGAGGCACCAGACACAGGCCTTATTTATACCCTTGGTGAAGTTGAAGAGCGTCTCAGTGTCAATATATAATGGATTGCTCGTGGCGCGAGAGGCGCTCGGAGGCATCAGGATTGGTGGCGTCTCTGGCACAATTGTTTGCGTGCCCTGGCAGACGCTTCATGGTGGCAGGTTTAGTACAAGGCAGTACCTGTCATGTTCTGGTGCGGAACCGTCCAAGTAGTTACTCATTGATGGCTGGCAGGATAAGATACCCAAGCAGAGAGTGTACCAGCTCGGATCAAAGGACAGGCAATATTAATGACACATTCGATAAGCTTCGTCAACAAGGCAGCATGTCATGATGACACTGACCCATACTCCCTCCGGCACTCAGAAGGACTGAACTATTAGTTAGTTATCCGTCCCGGGATAAGCATCGTGCTCCTGAGCAGACAAACCACGAGTCCGCATGCCATTACTGTTGCGTTCCTATGATACTTCCAAAACGCTTTCACTGAAGAAGTGCCCCTTTGCATACAAGTCCGTGGAGCTCCTGGGTCATCACGTTAGCCGCCTAGGCGTCGCAACTCAAGACCAGAAGGTAGACGCCATCCGTCAGATATCGTTCCCGACCACGCTAGTTACAGGGTCTAGAGACAGCCATCGGCCTCTTCGGTTACTACCGCCGTAGGCTGCGAACCCAACTGCTGCAATTGGTGACGCCATGGACACTACGCACACGTCTTACACTAAGGGCAAGCCCCAAGCAAGTCCCTGGATGCTATAACGGTTCGACATGGTTTATTTATATATCCAATATCGGCAGTGGCCGACTAAACAACGTATCAAAGGGCTGGGCCAAAGAGGGGGGGGGTTACATACTCAGCCCAGACAGCAACAGGGAAGTCAATCAGCAAACAAAAAATGGAGGAGCTGCTTAAAATTCGGATTTTTACTGCAGAAGAGTTATTACCGCTCTGGAATAATGGTATTGGTCTTTGCACTTCCTTTGCGACATATATTGCCTCCCGTCTCGAGGATAGTGATTGCCCTACCTTGGTTCAATTCGCTAAGTTCAATGGAATACACCGTGCATGCTTTAGTAGAGACGGGATTATTGTCGACTCCTCTACAAAAAAAACTCTCGAAGTCACTGACCAAAAACCCATCTCCGGCTACCGGGTGGTGCTTCTCTGAAGGTACAAAAGCGTGGGCAATTCGAATACTGTAGAACGGTCCTGGATCTTGACCTTATATATTAAGATAAAGGCAATAACAGCTTGCAAGGGATGCTGAGGTATGTATCTAGCCCCCCCCCTTCTTTACCCTTGGTGGAGGTCCGCTAACTTATTTGGTCCAGTACGTTGTTACCACTGCTGAGGACCCCGTCGACCCTGTCGCTCCTGTCGCCCCCGAGCCTGCAGAGGACATTGTAGATGCTGGTTCTCCTTCCAACGTTCCCAGCCCTGCTGGTGTCGGTTCAGCTCCTCCCCCCGTTCCCCGTCGCTCCAAGCGTTCTCACAAGTAACGGTGGTTGGTAATCTTTTCCCTGGTGTAGGCAATAATAATAATATTTAGATCTAAGAGTTCTAAGTTAAGGACTGGTACTCCGTAGTATCCGAGAATATAATTCTTCGCAGGACCTCTTGCGCAATGTTGATACTTCCCTCTACCTTACCAGCACCTGCTCCTGGACCTTAGGGTCGTTCAAAGTAGACAGAGCTTGGTCATCCTTTTATGTACTATAAAGATGCTCCTTTCTCCATTCTCCAATCTTCTGCTCTTCTTCCTCTTTTCCGCATTTTCTCTTCTTTGGCCGGCGGCTCTTTTGATATCGTAGCCTGGAAAATCTCGCTGCTCCCCTTGCTGCCTCTGTTCGCTTCTGCCTGTTTATATAAAGTGTACTACCCCTTTCTCTTGATGATGATAACACGGTCCTCTTCCCCTTGCTTATTCTATAAGAATACGATAGAAACAATTGGTATTTAAGGCCATTCCAAGGGTGCTGCGCTATCAGAAGTGATAAACGGAGCTAAAGGTGTAGGTATAACGACTTCTTAGTTGTACTCACTTTATCCCCTTATCGGGAAAGACTCTGATACCTGGTACAGGCGTGCTACTTTAGAGAAAGCGGGTTGGTAGACAAGCATATACGAGGTGTCGGGATGTGGAGCTCCTTTGTATACGAGCCCGATGTATATAAATGTCCTCCAATCGACTAGATACTCCTACAATCTTTTTATGCGCAATCCCCTTATACAATCGTACACGGATCCTGGGAGTGAAAATGGTGGATTGGGTCCTTACATCCTTTGCAGTGCTCACATGGGCAGCTGTGCCAGCCGCATCTGTAGATACCAATCTCCTATCAATTCGCGGCCAACAACCCATCCACTTGAACCTGACCGGCCATTTACCCGCAGAAAAGATCCTAGACTTTGTCTTTGTGGACTTTGATGTTCCCGAAGGAACAACTTCAATATCTGTACTGCAAAAGTACTCGTTGAAAGGGAGGGGAAATGCCCTAGACCTTGGATGCTGGGACCAACGAGGCCACCATCTTGCTTTAGAGGGGAACTTCACCACTGGATTCCGTGGATGGTCCGGCGGCGCAAGGAATAACTTCACTATTACCCCTGAATACGCTTCCCCTGGATATATTGCGGGTGCGATCCAACCTGGTGTCTGGTCCGTAGCCCTTGGGCCATACAACTCAGTTCCCCAAGGCATTCACTACGAATTGAATATCCAGCTGGGATTTGAGCCTGTAAAGTCCTACTTTCAGCCTGCATTTGCACCAAGTCGTGTAGATAGCAGCCTATATATGAACGAGTCTGGGAGCAATATCGACCAGCTGAAAAACGGACAGGGACAACCTGGCTTCCAATGGTACCGAGGGGACTTCCACATTCACACTATATACTCAGATGGCAAACAGACTCCCCAAAGAGTGGCAGAGCTGGCTCAACAAGCCAACTTCTCATTCTTCTTCAGTACCGACCATAACACTCAATCCTCGGGCTTGATTTGGGGTGCCGTCGCTCCGCCATCTCTGCTCGTCGGAAGAGGCATCGAGGTGACCACCCGTGGCGGGCACTGGAACGCACTGGGCCTCAACTGGAACGAATGGGTTGAATTTCGTTATAAGGGGAACGACAGCACCGCGATCTCTCAAGCGGTTCGACAGCTCCAGCGCCAGGGAGGCCTTGCAGTGGCTAATCATCCATTTGCTAACGACTGTCTTGCGTGCGATTGGTCGTTTAGTTTCGGTATCATGGACGGACTGGAGGTCTGGAACGGAGTTTGATATGATTTCGATAGGAAGGCCGTGGATAAGTGGCACAGTATGCTTGTTCAGGGGTCAAGGGCATTCGCTATCGGCGGCAGCGATTATCATAACTCCCCGTCTGCAGTCGGCATGCCTACTACCGTAGTTCGTTCAGAGAGTCTGTCAACGGCACAGATCGTGGATAGTCTTCGCCATAATCGAGCGTATATCGTTCGTGACCCGGGTATTGATATCCAATTCACCCTTATCCACCAGGGCGAGACAATCCATGTCGGTGATAAAGTAAACGGTGGAAAGGAAAATAAGATCCATGGTCCAATATCTGCAGTTCTAGAGGTGAAGGGACTTCCTGCGAATGCTGTGGCCCTTTTTATATCCGATAAAGGCCTTCTTAAACGCCAGACTATCTCCCAGTCTGATCATGTTCTTCATTCCAGATTAGATTCAAAGTATTCCTTCATCCGCATGGAAATCCAAGATCCGACTGGCTCTATGCTGGCCATGACAAATCCAATTTGGATATAAAGTGGTATCGAATATTTGCTTCTTGGTACAGATTTTCAAAATGGATCAAGATGAACTTATAGAGCTTGCTAGCTTGGATTGAGAGCAGTTAATAAGGATAGGAATCGAAATAAATTGCATACAAGCCTTGAGGGTATGCACTAATCATTCCCTTACCATCAAGCCGACTCCTCTAGGACAAAATACTGTAACTTCATCCTGCCTAGCTCCAGTTTTAATCCTTATTCTTCATCCGAATCATCATGCATGAAATAACTGTCAGTTGCCCAGCCGTTGATGTCAAAAAAGTCGTCATCACTATTACTATCGTCGCTGTCAGTCTCCCCTGTATCGCTTCTCAGGTCCATCCCCTGGGCAGCGTTACGAATATCATCAGCTTCCGTTACAGAGAACCCCCGAAATCCATGGCTTAACATATTCTGTTGAAGGTTTATAGGGATATTATGGGCGAATTTCTCAAGAAATCCGTAAATAACACCTTCAACTATGTAGCTGCCTTCGCTGTCCCAAGCCCTGGTTAGCTGTGGTATCATTGCATCAAGCAATTTTGTGTTGACACTGTCTACAGGCTTCCGGGGGCAATAGTAAGACAAAATTGCCAGTATAAAGCGAAAATAGAGATACCTAGTCCGAGGCCGAGACTCAGTGGGGAATATCAGCCTCTTCTTATGGAGCTGGCCAAATGTTATACCGCAAACAAGAACTTCTTTTAAACCAGGATGGTCGAGAAGAATAACTTGCCATTCCCGCAGCTGGCTTGTGGTAGACCCATGGGGAACAATGACAACTTTATACGCATCAAACGCTTGTTCAAATTCAGAAGGAAGAAAAAGGCCGTTCCTAGCAGTATTGATTTCCCCATGGGCCTCCTTTCCGAAGATGTTGTCCATCGCTTGTTGGCCGTAAGACAGTGGGAATATGTGTGCCGCAACGAAATACTGCCTCATATGCCAGCCTCCCGTCAGGACATTGCAGTAAGTCCTTTGGTTTCCTATCTGCTTCGACCCGTAAGCTGCCTTGATGGATTCAATGAAGTCGTTCTGTTTATCTCTACAGATTTTTCCTTGGACGCTAAGGAAGAGGTCGGCATAGGCTGCTCGCAGAGTAGCTCTGTTATTGGTATTGGAAAGGCTCAGCACCTTCGCTCGTTGCTTATACCTTTCTTCTCTCCTAATAGCCGATTGTCGTCGCTCTTCTCTCCCCTCCTTTTGTCGCAGGTACTCTCTCTTTGCCTGCTCAAGAATGTGGGCTTGGGAAGAAAGGGTTTCGCTCCGACGCTGCCATAGTAGGTCTTTGATAGTATCCTCTAAGCCAAGGATTACCTGGGATATATTCCAATACTCTGGCGTATCGTATATTGCTTTGCTTAAATGCTGCTTTGCACTCTTGCGTGCTTGGCACGCTGTTTGTATGCTTTGATGCTGCAGATTAATACCTTCCGAAGGGTTCAATATGGACTGAGAAGTCAGCTTTAATCTACGAGTAGGGAAATAGGAAGTAAAAGGCTTACCGTCAAATATAACCAATCTCTCGTCCATATATATATCTCCGTCTTTATGTTTAATAAAATATGACGAGGATAAATTTAAGGGGTGTAGTGACGAGCTGAAACATACCCCTTAGGTCATTATGTTGTCTAGACATGATCATCGGGTAAGAGTCAAGTACTACGAAGTGTAACACGAGGAGGAAGAAGTTGGCAGAGTACATGGGCGATGGTCGGTTTTATATGTGCTGAAGAGTCAATTTCGTCACTCACGCCCGAGCTGTGAATGCGATGCGAGAACGTGACTTCGCCGCAAAGTTGACCCGCTTATTAAAGTACGTTAGTTCCATACAGCCGGTGACGCAAAACCTTAATAGCTCGGTAAGATATTCACCAAAACCGTCACTGGTTGTAATATAACTCGTAATTTCCCTGAAATATTCAATACCGGTCCAAAGCTATGTCACGTGTAGGCCAACGCCTAGACCATCCTCGACCTCCTTATCCCGATAAGGGAATATAAACACTTGATGCAAACATTCACAAGTGTGCGAAAAGTTCTTTTAAGAGCTCGATACACCACATACGACTCCCCAAACCCCCAATGGCCACGGTGGCGGAGTACGATCTTTCGCGCTCCCCAGCATTTCTAGTTTCTTAAGCCCCAGTTAATCTCGTCAAACCGCGCGCCAATGTCTGCAGACCGGCCAACCAGCCAGCGCCGCCCTTCGTCTTCCCCATATCTCCTCTCTCCAGGCGGATATGACGAAGATGCTACGACCATACGCGCGCTATCCGATCAGGAATCGGACTCTGAAGATGACCAGCTTATGGAAGCTTCCCGGAGTACCCTCGACCTGGTACAACACGACCGCACCGTTCTAGAGGAGGAAGAGGAGCGGGAGCGGCTGTTAATCAGGGCGAAGTCGAGTCCAACAGATGGCCTACGAAGGATATTTGGGGCCAATCCCCATGATAATGGGAGCTTTAGTGTGAAGATTGGGAAACGGGACCGGAGTAGGCGGCGGAGAAGAGAATTAGCCGCAATGACGAGTGATCGAAGGAGACGAAGGAGCTCTGCGCAGAGCAATAATGATACTATGAATTTGGGAGAAGATGATGAATTAATGTACGAAATGGAGGAGGGTGTGTGCAAAGCTATTGACTCTGATGACGATTCACGATCCGTATCAACCATAAGTTCCATATTTAGCGATTTGGACCCTCGGGATATCGAAAGTAGAGGCTACTGTGGCAGTGTGAGCAACTCAGTTCATCGGCATAGGAACGACATTATATACTGACTACTCTTGATTTTCTTGTTAGGACTCATCATGTCGGGTGGTTTCTCTAATCACATTCGCTATACTAATCCTATTCTCACTTCTATACCTGGGGGCTTATAAAGCGTCAAGCGGCTATCGGACATCCCATCATCAACCTCCTAATACTATATCCAACGGCACCTCGCTATTCCTACCTACCACTATACTCATTTCCCTTGATGGATTCCGAGCTGATTTCCTCACCCGCGGCCTCACACCAACTCTCAATTCCTTTATTGCCAACGGAATATCACCCAAGTACATGCTTCCAAGTTTTCCATCCGTCACATTCCCCAACCATTTTACACTGGTAACTGGCCTCTATCCTGAGAGCCATGGAATCGTAGGAAACACATTTTGGGACCCCGAGTTAAAAGATGATTTTTACTATACAAAGCCTGAGAAGAGCATGCAGCCAAAGTGGTGGACAGCTGAACCCATCTGGGCCACTGCTGAGAAACAAGGTGTGAAAACCGCCATTCATATGTGGCCTGGGTCCGAAGCGCACATAATGGGAATCGAGCCTACATTCCTGGATAAATACAACGGAAGTGAAGCCCTGCCTCGAAAAGTTGACCGAATTCTCGAATTAATAGACCTCCCAGGAGAGAAGGACGCGGATATTCCGCCTACCATTATGCAGCGGAGGCCTCAGCTCATTGCAGCGTATGTACCGAATGTGGATGCCGCAGGGCATACCTTTGGCCCCAACAGTACTGAGATTAGAACAACGATTGCCAACGCCGATAAAATGTTGGCGTCTATTCTTCAAGGCCTGGAGGCAAGAAATCTGACTAACGTCGTTAACATTGTGGTTGTATCCGATCATGGAATGGCCACCACCTCAGTCGACCGCCTGGTCCAGCTCGAAGATCTAGTGGACCTTAATCTGGTTGAACGAATTGACGGCTGGCCCCTCCGAGGGCTTGTACCGAAACGAAAAGAAGATATCCAATTATTATTTGAACAGGCGAAAAATCACACTGCCTTCATGGGATTCGATGACTACCTCGAAATTTATACCCGTGAGACTATGCCGGAACGTTACCATTTCTCGAAGAGCAATAGAATCGCACCATTATGGGTAATCCCTAAGACTGGCTGGGCGATTGTCGAACGGCCAGATTTCGATGTAAAGCTGGCTCAAAAGGAGGGGAAAGCCTACCATCCGATGGGGATTCATGGGTACGATCACGAACATCCGCTAATGAGAGCTATATTTGTAGCTCGGGGCCCCAGTTTCCCGCACAAAGCAAACAGTAGAGTCCAAGAATTCCGTAAGTCCTTACATCCATATACTCTAAGATCTGCTTGCTAACGGCCATCTAGAAAACATTGAAGTATATAACATAATATGCGACTCACTTAGAGTCCAACCTCGCCCTAATAACGGCACATTGCGCCTTCCATTAAAACCTGTCGGGTTACACTCTGATGGGAAAAGTCCTCCTATCGAAAATCTAGATGACCAAGATCCGCCTAAGTCAACTTCATCTAAAACCCCTATTTCCACTAGACCTCCTGTTCCACATCCTACTGCAATCACAGGAAATGCCGGCATTCCTCCTCCCCCTCCTCCGAAGGCTACTCAGCAAAGTCAGGGACGGCCTTCTTCAATTATTGACAGGATAATTGACAAAGTCAAAGGCTGGGCAAGTGACCTCCTCGGCTTTGTTGGGCTAGGGTGATATATTTGTTCTCTCTTATCTTAATTCTGTTGTTGAACCCTTCTAACCCTTCTAACCCTATTTATATACCCGTTCCGTTGATTTCTTCTGTTCTTCAACTTTGTTAACGTCTGATGTATTTCTTTACTGAATTGTGGCCGTCTTTGGATAGCTGATCAGCATATGCATTATGGGCTTTGTGGCATTTACCCATTCGACCTCTGAGATTACAGAATCTTAAAGCAAAGATGACAGCATAAGCTGGTCCCCATGATGACCAGTACTTTGGTGGAGTATACAATACATCAACCTGAACTAGCAATTAAGTCACTGGCTGATATCTAACTCTACTAGACCATATATTGAAAAATACCCTGAATCTATTAAATACCTTGAAGTTAATGCATCCAGAGGTTCCTTTCATCCCATCTATGTATATACGCCAATCATGCCGTCTTTCTTTTTTTCCGTGCAGACGCGCCCCCTTTTTGAGTCGAGGCCTCGAGACTTATTGCTCCGAACACAAGAATAGCACCCACGAGCTGTCTTCCTGCAAGGCATTTTCTGAACCAAATCAAACTCAGGAGCATGGATAGAGTCTTCCGCACCACTCTTATCTGTACCTGTAGAAGGCTAGAAAACTCCCGGAAAATGATGTAAAGCAACATTTGCGCCAATGCACTAGCTGTAGCAAATTTAACAATATCGTATAGAGCAGCAGGATGATGCCCCACGAAGTCAAAGGCCGCCGCAAGATTTTCCTTGCTTTTAACTAGATGTAAGCTTCGCAAAAGGGGAACTTGTGGCAAGATCAGATGAGTGAAAGTCACTGTTGTCGCAGTTATATTCAGGATTAGCATCCGATATGGGCCCGACAGCGCTCCGTAGCGATGTGGATGGTTTCCGATGTGCTCTAAGACAATATATGTCGAGCCATCGAGAAATAAATTTGAGAGAAGCAATAAGGAGCCCCTGGCCCAGCTCGCATAAGAATATGTACGCTCTTTTATGCTTGAGTCCGGTGCAGTAAATAGGACAAGGCCGAATGTCACGGCCAAAAATAGGAAATACCTGTGAGCTGGATACTGCTTCTGCAGTAGCACAACATTGAGAATCACAACGGGGACGAGCATGCAAGATTTGCTGATCAATAGAGCAGAATAATCAACGTGTGCCAAAGCAGCGCTCCCTAACTGCGAGCCGAAGTTATTCGCCAGTGTCACAAACAGTAGCGGCGGAATTGCAGCGAGTCTGGGTTTTCTTGACTCGGCATCAGAAGCGGTTGAGAGAGCGTCGCATAAAACATAGAGCCCAGCGAACAGGGCATTGAAGAGAAATTGGATGCCATTGAGAAGAAGCGGGAACCGGAAATAGACTGCCGTATCCTCCTTTAGAGAAACATCAAGCCAGGCCTGTTCTGGGTGGTTTTGTCGGTAATATGGAGTCGTCATGACACGCTCTTCAAAAATCGAAGCAGAGAGGCTATAAAAACACACGAATAGTCAACTTAGTTTAGGATTCAGCAATAACTAATGGTTATTTTAATCACTAGGTAATGGTTAATGGGAGACAAACTATAGAGTTAAGTAGAGAACGGGGAGAATGGTAGCTGGAAAAGCTGGTCGGATTCTCTCTATAAGGGGGTAAAATGACCAGCTACAGCTAGCGAGGCCGGCAGAAGGGTGCATCTTTCCAACCGTCATTTTGAGAAGTTGATAATCCTCGAGGCGAGAGCTAAGATAGCCAAGTTAACAATATCGACAACATTATAAAATGATGAAGCACTCCCTAGGGTCTGGGGAGGAGGCCTGGAAGCATTATATACAAGAGCGGTTCAAGGTTGTATAGATATCCAGCAGCATAGTAGGCCACTCCTCTCCAATAACTTATAACCTCGCTAGCTAACCATGAGTTACTAGGTTAAAGCTCCAGTTATCAGGCCCAGCACGCGTATATTTAAGGCTTCCAGCATCAGGCTGTCCATCCTGTAATGCAGAGTGAACCTGAACTAGTTTTTCCCAGTCTCTGATTGGTATTCATCCCCTCTAAGCCATGCCTTGAGTTTCTCCAATGCCCTGAATCTTTCAGATACCCTGTTCTGGTCTCATGAGCACCGGATTTTAATATATACACTCCATTAACTAGCTTGCAGGCTTACCTTTTCTTCAAAACTCATTTCAGCATAGGTATGGCCTTGGTACTCGAAGATTGGGTCAAATGCTGTATCGCAATATTTCTTAGCTTCATATTTTTTCCTTCGTAGATATGGCTATGGCAGGACATACCAAAACCACCGCTGCCCCTCTTAGGCACAATCACCCCCTCCGTATATCCCTGGAAGAGAAGAGGCTCAGAGCCTGGCCCAGCAGAGTAAGCATACGTGCAGGCAGCTCTCGCAGACTTATCGGGGTATGCTGCCAATAGATTGTATAGACCATCGTTTCCCAGTCTTGCATAGAAATGTCGTCTGGTATAAAGAAAATAAAAAGTAAGTAACTAGCTACTCCATCTGTCCATCTTACGCTGTTGATACAGGTTGGTATAGAAGTGATATAGCAAAAGTTGTGGGACTTACATATAAGGTCCTGGTAAACCACCCAAGGCATTGAACCCAAGTCCACTATCCTCGACCAGGACAGGGCCGCCAACCTAATACATTATTATTACTGAGATTTCAAGTAACTGTTGATTCATAGGGCAATAGGAATGTGCTTATACCGCATCAGCTGCTTTCTGGCATTTGTCCCGCGCAATTTCATCCAATGAGCCCTGAATTTCTGGAATATCAATAGCTTGACTTGTGAGCTCGATTATGTCTCCTAAGATCCCTTTAGCTTCGGCCAGCTTCTTCACGTTTCCAGTAACAAAGTGAAGGGTTTTGAGCCTAGGGGAAGCCATCGTGCTGTGTTGACTGGCGGGACAGTTGGTATGGTTTAACTGATTCAGTTATCATCAGCCAGCCTTGGGCCAACAACCCCGCCGACTGACTAGTACAGCACTTGATAACTGATTACAGGGGTGAGCTGGCAGTTGAGACAGGCTATAAGGAGTTGCTCGAATTACTCTAGCATCAGCCTCTGACTTTTACTAGGCGATTAGCTACAAGCCCGGGGTTGCTAACTAGCCAGCTAACTAACTAATCGTGAATCTGCTCGGGGACAATCAACCTCGACTCCAATCGCCAGCTCTTCATCACCATTCAGAAGCAGTCCTGGGGCGTTTTTTGCGGTACTCGACACGCCATGGATCCGACGGGCATGGTCTTTCATGTTGTCGAGCCGGCTAAACACACGATTGCATCCTTCCCATGCACAGCGGATTTGCGGATTGTGCATGGCTTCATGTCTAGCGCGGTCCTTTTCGCTGGAGAACCATCGTCTTCCACACAGTCTCCTGCCCTTACCGCTAGCCCTGGGCGTGGTCATTGAGGCCCCAGCAGCCTCATGGCCTACTCCGAAGTGTGGACAGCCAGGGAAACGACAGTAGAACCTCTGCGAGTGGCGACGGTAGTGTTTCCGGAGGTCGCATGGACGAGTAAATATTTTCTGAGAAGAGCATTTCGGGTATGCACAGCGCCATGCTTGAGGGCGTGCCTGGCTGCTGTAAGCTGGCCGATTCCGTTTCAACGTGGGCTTTATGGGTAGAGATAAAGGCAGTGAGGACGAAGACGAGGTTTCGCCTATTTCTTGAACCAGAACTGGGGTGTCGCCTATAGTGCTCGAATTCGAGCTTGAGCTAGCGGGAACTTGAATATCTGGTGAAGATGAAGAAGCTCCAGCGGCTCCCTCGGACGACTCGGCTTGTCCTACGCTATCATGATTATTAGCTGCTTGACAGCTTTGGCCCACGATCTCCTGGTTATCATTAGAGGACGGGAGAGACATGTCACCACATCGGCCATGATTCTGAGTGCGATCCGGAGTGGGCTGCAAGAGATGAAAAGGGGTCCACCCTTCCGGGCTCGAACACGCCTGGGCTGCTGCATCATCGGCTTGGAGTGGCTGTTCTTCCAGAGAATAATTGCAGGTTAGGCTGCCCCATCCTGCCTGGGCTGTGGAGTTGCTAAGGTCAGATCGAGTGTCTTGACATCGTGCGTAGCGGGAAAAAAGGGGTAGGGCAGTCCATCGACGGGGCGGCACCAGGGAGAGAGAAGTCGGCGGCAGCGAGCACACGGTAAGGCTATTGTTCATGTTAGTCGGTTAAGTAACTAGATAATGAGATGACAGCTAACACGATCCAGCGTTGCGAGGCAAGCCACCATATAGCAGAATTGGGTAACCCAGTAGTTATCCGTACTTCGTGCTTCCCAAGAAACACCGGTTAACAGATAACTAAGGTGTATAGTTGGCAATCCTTCGTCATCTGTGATAGTTTTTCAGTCCAGAATCATCTCGGCAGGCAATTTCAAGACTGTCCAATGCAAGTTGACTAGGTAACTTAATCAACTAGGATGATGGAGTTCACAGTGACTGACTGCCACGTTAGAAGCTCCCTGCCCATGTCCACCGTCAATTCTCATGCCTGCCATTGGAGTTTTCCCCGGCACGGAGTAATCAGTTAACACTTTTAATGAGTGTCTCCATCGGTTCTTCGGAAACCCTGTTTAGGCCGCCAACACGCTGGTTATCCCTGCGTTAAACGGGCTTTGACCTCCATTTACTCTGGGTTGATATGGGTCTGGAGGTAGTTACACCACCCCGTAACTAACCCACCCCACCCCTTACTCTGTACCAGCTAACTTAAATAGTTAACTGTTGCCCTACTTACTCTGTCCTCTCCGTCTTTCCCCGGCCAAATAAGATAGGCCCTACCAATTTAACAGAGTGTGGGACGCAGGGTACTATCCATGAGTTACAAGCCAACATTAATTATTGTTACGTGAGATCTCTAATCCTCCGATTTAAAAATTCCGGAACGCTGGAAGCCTTAGAGGCCTTGGAGGCCCCAGTGTGTGATGGCCAACATATGTACTCCGTACAGCTCAACTAGACACTTCCTTCACCTACCAAGTATAGCCGTTGGATATTGGGGGAAGACCAATCTCGCATCGGATAACTATGCGTGCAGTTGAGTGGGCAGCACTGTTTCTGTGTTTCCCATCTATGGGGTTTGTGACATCACAATATTCCAACCACCATCCCCAACATGTGGACTATCATCACCCAGCAACTGAAGACCTTAAAGAAGCTGCCTTGGGCTTTTTCCGGTTAATGGACGCTGCTGGGTTTGGCAAGACTCGCTCTGTAGTGTTCGGTGCTGCATCCATAAGGATGCATTTCCCATCGTTTCGGTCTACACCGGTTAGTTTTCCGGACAATAACTAACTATCACTATATATTAGTTATGGTATTCTATGAAGACTAGCTATATTGTCGTGACAAAGTTTGCTAAGTACCCAGGTACTGTCATAGGACCTCGACATCATTGTTTACGAAGAGAATGATCTGAGGCTCGATCGAATTCTCAACGAGATGCAGAAGGCCAGCAACGATCGACTAGTGTGGGGAGGCGACAAGGAATCACTACATTATATTTTGAACAGCGGGAAGGGGGTCTACATAGACGTTGGGTACCTCGATTTTGGGGTATGGAAACTCTTTGACAGCCTCCCTTGAATTCCCCTTGTTCAATAACCACCTATGTCGTTCATTGAGTAACTGGTAGCTTACTCCTTACTTTTTACATTTAGGAAAGGATCGGAATTTCGATGCTTGACTCTGCTGCCGCGGCCGACACCATCCTTACGACTGACTCTATACCATTGGCTACGCCTGAAGAAATGTTTATTGTCAAAATCTGCGCCAGTGGAACACGTTCCTCCGTTGCTCAAAGCTTACAGGATATAGCTGACGCTGAATTCATTGCAAAAAGCCTCTATCAAGTAAACCTGGTTGGCGATCCACTTGAACCTGCCCTAAGCTGTCTCAATCAATTTCTTCCAGAGTCCACCTATGGCAAAGTTTGGTGGGACAACAAGTTGGGCTTGAGTAAGCCGCGAAAATGCACGTTTCACGATTGGTTTATGTCCAATCAGGGCTGGAGAAGCTGTGACATTGGTATATTGCAATCATAGATTGACCTACATTTCGGCTCTTGAATGCTCTAGCTAAAGTAGTCTCTGGTGTGCCAAAGACACTAGTCATATTGGACCAAAAACGGCGAACAGGCTATACGGACTAGCATCGACCTTCGTTTCAGAAGCATAGTATAGCTTTCCTAATGTTAATGTATAGGTGGTTATGTAACTAAGCTACAGGCTTGATCAAATGCCATAGTTTAACCGAGTAAGCAAATAGGCTGGCCTAGTAAGCCAGTTACAGTAATCCAATCAGCTGCCTCAAATGTGTTTTCCTGTATTCCCTGCCACACTCTTTCCAGGGTTTGAATCACGGCACGGCATCCATTTGATGCGAGGTGGTGCTCGACATCTAAGCCGCCGAGAGCAGTAACGCGAATTGCTAGGTCTCGAAAAATCTCCCGCTGTTGAAGCTCTTGATCCGCCATACACCCTGCAATTAACATTGGGAATGTTAAATATCTCATAAGCCCAAGGTCAGGCAGAAATTTGAAAGCCATAACTGCACGAGAAACGCTATTGCGGATCTCGGGTGTGTCCAAATTAAAGCCATCGACAGTGACGTGAAGATGGAGCAAAGTAGCGATGGCAAAAACATATGTGACGTAGAACGTGGTGGCCTCTCCGTTCCCATTCCAGTTGCCAGAGGTTCCGCCGTTGTTCCACTGCGACCCAACAGTGGCTGTTGTATTGGTAGGCATTGCGATATTACCGAAGAGTAATCCCAATCGTTCTGCAACATCCCGGTGGGAGTGTAGTTCTTCAGTAATCCTCTGTTCTAGTCTTTTTTCAATGTCCATTGCTCGACTTACGAGCTCTCGAATTCTAAATCCGTTTTGGGTTCCTTTCTCTCTCTTCCAGTGAGCAAGTTCTATGGATTCTGACAGGAATGATACTGCCCAGTTCCTGCACCCAAAAAACATGTGTTGCTGCATGCCGCTATTAGGGAACTCGAATAGACGTCTATGATCGAACGAAATTGGGTGAAAGTCTAACGATGTACAAGAGACCGTGTCAATCCAAGCGAAGACGTTGGCAGTGAACCTCAATGCGGCCTCATTTTCAGGAGATAGGCAGTCGTTATCCATTCTATCTGCCGTAGACAAAGGGGTTCCCAGGCTGTAACTGGATTTGCTATAACCTGAATTCTGAACGCTCACACGAGATTCATACATTTTCAGGACATCAGGAAGAAGACTTGAAGCGGTACGAGCATAGACTATCCAGTGGCCGATACGGTTGGCTGCGCACTAACCAGTTCGAAAACAGTTTAGCTTAGGTAGCTGACTATCACCAAAAAGCAGAGCAGGTGAAAAAGGATCCTTTTGCGCTGCCATGAAAAGAGAAAGGATAAAACAAACCTCAAAAAACAGCAGCTGCATAATACATGCTAGAGCGCTGACACTAGCCTTGAGCTTCTCCGCCATTCCATAGGCATTTGATTTGTCAATAAACACTCGCAACTCCTCCAGAGCAGTTGAACGATGACGATCACTTTCGGCATGTAATGTATGGCTCTGCTCTTTATTGTTGCTATCATGTTGCTCTATCGTAATGCTCCAATATAGTGCAGCTACACTTAGCGTCGCGTAATACACCGGCTTTGTGGATGTGAGAAGGGATAAAAGCCACGTTCTCCCTCCTTCTCTTAGGCTCGGGCGGTAAAATGGAAATTGAATTTGGAAAATATGGTCCAAATAAAACATGAGCAAACTGGCCTCTCGCTCTAGCTGGCAGTCTACGCTAGCTGGAGAAAACTGATGATGATGGTCTAATGGTGATGTTTCGCCTGGTAGGCCAGCAACACTTAGAATCCCCGTTAGGTCCAGGTTTGGGTTGACTGTGATGGCCAATTCATCGTTGACTGTTGTTGAAAACGGTGATGGAAATTCCATACTTAGGTTTTTCTTATCGGTCTGGTCAGAAAAAAGTTATAATGATATTATTATGTGAGGAAGGGTAGTAAGTAGGTTCGATGCCGTAGAGTTTATTCTTTCTTGAAGCCACGAGAGAAGTTAGTTATCCCAGTTACTTCTCCAGGCTCTTATCACCCGAACGCGGCAGGGGTTGCTGAATGCTGGGATGACGTCGGCGATATGCCCCCTTTGAGTGAAAAAGAAAAGACGTACTCTGTAGGATGCGGGATTCATGTTATGCGAGTTCCTCCGAATATCAAGCCCTGACCATCGAAATAACTAACATAGAGTAGTTATTTAGACTTTCGTCTATGTTCACTGTAGTTATCAGGCCACGTTTATTAGCACTGTAGCACCCTCGATCTCACCAAACACGACATAAAACGTACCTCCAGGTTCAAATATGCCCTTTAACTCCGTCGTTACTCCACCTTATATGGTTTAGGTTACGGAAGGGGCCCACAAAGTCAAATTTGATTGAGTTAGCGTGTCTTGGCTAAATTACTAATCAATTCCATAATGTCCAGCATGAACCTCCCTGTCAAATGAGCCAATATGGGCGGGGGCAGTGATAGCCATTTCGATGATTTTCTTGATACCCAAGACCCAAGAATACTGTATTATTCTATGCTTTGTATGGTGGTGGAACTGCTACGCGTCGGAAGTGAGTTAGTTAGCTGATTATGGCTCTTAACTTGGTTAGTCGCTGCTCGAATCCGTGACCTCCTGCAAGGTGGTTTGAGGAGGCTGAGTCCACATGCTCATTTACACTCTCGCTCAGATCCTGGACCCGGCCTAGGAGAAATTCAAATAGCAGTATGTGGCGGCAGGCTGATACGCAGGTATCTCATTCACGCTCAGCTTCACTGTCGAGAATGTAAGGCCCCACTCCCGTACCCATCGCTCTAACTCGCCGCTCTCGAAGGTGAGTGATACCCCCTTGTTTTGCGGCTTTGACATCTGTTTGATTGAAAAAAAGACGGTTTCATAAGAGAGCTGGTATTGACGCTGATGCGGTAAGGGCGGCGGTGATGCCGCATCCCATAGGGTAGGGCATACTTGATTCACGTTATAGATATCAAAGCAAGGACTCAGAGCTTTACCACGATAGATGCCATCGTGCAAATCGTACCCGTCCAGCAGTCCAGCAGATCATCGTGGCCTATTCATTTCCGAGTTGATGGAAATGGGCCGTTGAGCAGAAGCTGCAGGCCATTTTCGAAAAATGAATCATACCCGCAGGTAGCACCTGTATTTCGAAGATCACCAAGGAGAATGACTGATTCAAGGGAAGACTTCTCGCCAAATTGTTAACAGAGCCAGTATGATTTCTGGTAAAATGCATTCCTGATCTGATAAAACTTGCGCAAAGGCCGTAGCCGGTGCCTGCTTGCCTATCTGGGCCTAACCGATGCTTAGGTCAAAGATCCCAATACCTGATATATTCGGCTTATTTTTGGTTCGAGCACTATGCAATTAGCATCATCTATGTATGGGTCTATACTACCCCGCAAAGCTTTCGACGGCTAGATAGACTTTCCAGTCTTCAAAATCCAATAAAAGTGACTAAGTTTTGCCAGAAACCTAAGAGGCGGGTGGCATCATCGAAGAACGAAGTGGCATTCGGTTCACCTTGAGAAAATCCAGTCCCAACCGGCTGGTCAACTCAGGTGACAGTGGTCAAAGTATTCCAACTTTACGGGTTCTGCACTGCGGAAATGGCACCGGGACACCAGACCGCCGGATATTGTTCACGCAAAAATCCATACGGGGGGCCAGCAGCCAGATCCTTCCATCTAGCAAGATTGTGATTTCATTATCTGTGGCGGGATAGTCTGTTGAAATGAACCAAGTGAAAAACTCCTTGCCCAGGTCATCAATGAAAGCAAACCAATATGAGATTCACCTATGTCCCAATCGACTTTGGGCAAGGACGTTCCGCTTACTGCAAAAGAAGCAGTTTTAGCTGTTAGAGATCAATCTTTTCGATTTCTGTTAGCTGGAACTTCCGCGGAGCCGCCTACTTGATAAATGACTGACATAATTGCAAAGAACGAGAAAAATGAATATATATTCCATTCCAGGAGAAATGTCAATAAACCAATCAAACTCTGGAACATGAGAGAAAGATAACTATGTGAAAGCTGACAAAAAGGCATGGTTATTGGCAAGGGAGAGAGGAAGATATGCAGGAAGCCTGACAGGACTGGAAGCCTTAACTCTTAAAATAGGGGGCCGAAACTCGAGATCTCTTTGCATGGTTTCGGTATGCCAAAGCCGCTTTAGGCCCGCAGCGCATTGTCTTCTAAACCGTGGAGACTGTTAATCACACTTTTATAATGACGGAATGGACGAGTGCTCTCGCTGGGTATTTATTCTGCTGATCAATCCACTTAAATCCAATAAGCAATCGACAGGAAAGGGTTTTCAAGCTGTTTTTTCCTTTTATTTCCAGTCACACGCCCATCGATTTCGATTACTCACCACTATCTTCCCGATTCTACATCGAATTGCTGTCTCAGAATGCATAGTATGTAATAACTGATCTTTACTGCTGTATTTTACTGACACTAACTATTACCAGTCTCAGACCCACTCTTTTATGTGTCTGTGCTTGCGGGGCTTGCAATTCTAGGTGATGCAGCCACTGTTCCCCATGCGGCGAAAGCCTTGAAACCTGCACTAAGAGATGCTCGGAATGTTATTGAGATCTCTGGTGGTGATTTGCACCGCGCAGCTAAATCTCGCAGAGATACAGATGACTGGGATTATCGTCGCTCCATTGATCCCTTGTCTAAGAAGGACGTCGATACAAGGCCTCTCTCTCCAAGGGATACCGTTCATAAGTCTCTGGTGGATACCGTTCATAGATCTCTGATGGACACTAGCACAAAGCCTCTATCTCCAAGGGATGCTGTTCATAGGTCTCTGATGGATACTAGCAAAAAGCCTACAGTCCATAAGTCTCTGGTGGATACCGTTCACAGGTCTCTGATGGACACTAGCACGAAGCCTCTATCTCCAAGGGATACTACTCATAGGTCTCTGATGGATTCCGTTCACAGGTCTCTAGTAGATACTAGCACAAAGCCTCTATCTCTAAAGGGACCAGTGACAAAATCTAAAAGAGATATACCTTCACCGAAACTTGCGGCACCAAACAGCATGTATTCCCATGATGGATTCCAGGTTACCTCTGACCATGTTTTGCGATATCTTCAGGACCGAGGCTTAGTCGCATGGGCTCCATCCGGGACTGGCAAATACACACACATTACTGATGATCTATGGCAGCGAGGGCTAGGTGGAGCCGTGCGTCGCAAGCGCTCATTTGCTCCCATAGATCTCAACAAGGGCCCTTCGAAGGTATTCAATAATATATGGATTAAAGGTCAGAGTGCCTCCATAACATGTTACACCCAAGGCCTCCGCACATCTGCTTTAGAGTTTGAAAAAGCGGTTATGGATGCTTGTCATGCCTTTGGTGCAAGTCCGCTCCCTTCTCAGTCAATTCGAATGTGGGAAATGGCTACCGTTAATGCGAAAATTCCACGTCTCCGGTTTTCCATTCGAGTGTTGGAGGGTACAGAAACGCTTGATGAGACTCTCTGCCAAGTGGCGTTTGATCAAATTCGCCAACGGTGTGCAACGAATGGCGATACAGCTGGTGGTGAAGCCACTATGGGCCGTCAATTTATCTTGACGCTGGACTCTATGGACCCAGAGATCTAAAGCCGGAAAACTCGCTCGCCGGATAATTGAGAACATCTTGCTGGTCGCCATCAACAAATACTGAGCTCAATGTTCTTTCCCAATGGCACTTGCGAAGCGTCCTGCCGTTGGAAACCCTTGCTGTTTTCTTTTTTTCTACCCCCTTCCTTTCCCCCGGAGCTATGTCATAATCTCGCTATTCATTGCAGTGTTTTCATCTCTACTTTGAAACTAGGTACAAATCTACGCGAGACTTAGCACATTTTCCATTGGATAATGTATCAAATTTATGACTCCTTTCTCAGGGTTAATACGCCTTTTGTCAAGTTAATACCTTGGTAGCTGCAGAAATTTATTGTTTCACAGCCTAGCCTTCGCCGGAGTATTCCCAGATGACGGGAGAATATGAGATTGTTGTGATGCACTTGAAAATAACCATAACTTTATAAACATTAGTATGTACTTATCTGATATGACCATTAAGCTCCATTTGTATGCGGCCGTTCGGAGGAGATATTATTACTCTGCTTTTGATTCAAGACCAAAACAGGTCCTATTCTATGCTGTCGTAGAATAGTAGAGAGAATTTAGGCAACTAGTTAACAATCTGAGCTGAGTTTTTCACATGAGCGAACCCCTTCCAACAGCCTAATATATTATCCAACGTCAGGTCTCATTACAGGTTGGCCACTCTGCCTACAATTATAAACTAGCCAGATATGATAACCGGTTGCATTTGTCTGGGTACTGAGATCCTGAAGGCCCAGCCTGGACCAACAGCACTTTATATCAACCCTGCCAATGCTCTCTTGACCCCCTTGCCGCCCAAAATCCATGTTGGCATACTCTTACCCCTGTACCACTGCTTGCAAAGCATGGGCTAAAGTGGGAGGCCTAACTAGGGTGAATTAATCCTAGAATGGCCAAAGCACAGGGGAAAAGGGCCTCATGTCCAATGGTTCCTAATGGTTAGTTAACTGTAGGCTCGCACTTAAGACATGGAACATGGTATCAGGTAAGTCCTGACGACTGGGTAAAAAATCACTCTGATAACATGGAAACCTCAAGTACTTACCTAAGTATATCCTTGCAGCTATTTCATTCATGATAAGGCGCCCCAGGCAGCCTTACCTAGCAAAAATTGTGATGCTGTCGCTGATGGAATCTTAACTGGTTGTTATCCTATATTAAAATCTTAACATCTTCCCTCGCAACCACCTAACTGTGTTTACCTTCATAATTGTTCTTTATGCATATTGGTTATATGAATTCGGATTCTGACTCACAATGGAAGGCCTCTCACCGGAAAAGAGTTATAGCAAACTGCCCCTCCTGAGCCGAAGCTTGAGTGATAACCAAGAAAACAATGAGCTGCAACCAAAACCGGTGCATTCTCGAATGAAACCATGGTGGATGCTGTTGGTATGGATAGCATCGGCATCGCTGCTCTTTATGTCAACAGTGTTTATCACGCTCGCAACCGTGAGCAATGAGGATCACCACCACCACCAGTATAAACAGCAGACGAGCGGTATCCAAAGCCAAAGAATCACCAAAGACCAGCCGTTGCATTGTGGTAAATCCGTCGACGAAGCCATTAGATTAGGATGCACGTTTGACCCGATGTCGTTACAATGGCTACGCCCCGAATGCCGACGCACGGGGAATGACGAGTACTTGGAGTTCCTAGGAGGAAACCTGACGTACTGGGTTGACCGCAATGGGTCGACGCCTGTTCATGATTTATCAAGACAGGTCAACGACGACGGGTTCTGGGGCCAGCAAAGGCAGCATGTGGCACACTGTGCGTTCGTGTATGTTCGGCTGATCGAGGCCGCCACAACGGATGGAATATATGATCGCAAGACATGGTCACCACATCACGCAAAACATTGTGCCAGCGTACTATTGAATTGGGCGATGCGCGCCCCCGATATGACGGATGCGAAGCAGTGGGCACATGTTTCATTTGGTACTTGTTGGCAGCGCGGCGGCCTGTGACGGTAGTCAAGTGTCGAATCGCTGTTCCACTCCTGAGACGACTAGGTGGATTATCAGGAACATAACCGTGGCAACCATGGGTATAGCTGGAGACCGGGTCCAAGTGCAATTGGTGTGCCATAATATAAGTCAAGAGAAGAAGCCTGTAGCCTGCCGCTCTCTTAGTTATATAACTAGTTAGTTAATTGGCTGGACAACTTCTGACTAGTTGAGCCAGTTAGAGTGTGTGGTGTATATTAAACACGAGCGGCATGACAACCCAGGCAGCAACAGAATGACTTCAATAAACATCTTCAAAGCATTCGAGCAACATACTGGCTAGTTAGTTGTCTTCAGCCCACGCCAAAATGACCAGCTTCCCTACTCAAAAGATCCATCCGTGTCTCTGGTTTGACAAGGAAGGCCTCGAGGCCGCAAGACTGTATACCTCCATCTTCTCCAACAACCCTCACTCCAAGACCAAGGGGGATTCATACATCGTCAACGAAGCGGCTATCACCAACGAGTCGGCGGTGCTTGTCTCCTTCAAGCTGAACGGCCAGGAGTACTCGGCTCTCAATGGCGGACCGCACTATAAGCATACCCCCGCCGTCTCCATGTTCGTGACCTGCGAGGACCAGGCGGAGGTCGATTATTTCTGGGACGCACTGCTGAAGGATGGAGGGAAGCCGGTGCAGTGCGGATGGCTGACGGATAAGTTTGGCGTGTCCTGGCAGATTGTTCCCCGGGCGCTGATGGTGTTGTCTGCGGATGAGGATCGGGAGAAGGCGAACCGGGTCCAGCAGGCGATGATGAAGTGTGTTAAGATGGACGTGAAGAAGTTGGAGGATGCGTATAATGGGGTGCAGTAGATGTGTGATACGGCTGGATTCAAGCGGATAGCAGTCAATCAATATCTTTTTGAATACTCGGGCTACTTGGTAAATGACATGATGTCAATCTTAGGACGACATAGGACTTGGAAAAGGGCCTTACTTTACATAGTTATGGGAAATAATGAAAGGTAGATCTTCAACATATCATGTTGCATATAGTTGTATACATATTAGTATATAGAAAGAATCGCAGGGGTATCGAAGCTTGGAGCCCAAAATGTCTGATATAGAAAAGTCGGAAGTAATCAGGGAAGAACAGGGGGTGTCTAAGGCGGTTTAGTCTATATGTGTGGAAATCTCGGAAATTAGAAGTGAGTGCAAGGGAAGCAAGATAAACCAGTGAAGGGGTATGGGCAGTGTATACAAGGGGATGACCTCATAAGGGTCATCGGGTTGAAATGAAGTATAAGTAACCAACTAAAGCCAAAATGCAATTCGTATCCCTTTTTCCCAGGGTAGGTCGGCGTAGGTGTATCTGTAGATGGATGGGATATATCGTTGGAGCCGTCAGGACAATTCATTATAAGAGCAAGCAAGCAAGACGATGCAAACGCGGAACCAGAACAAAAGTCGAAAGAGAAAGCAAAGCAATCCGATTTTGAACCAGGGGTAGACGCCGTCGGGAAATAGAAACAAAGGGAGGAAAAAGTGCGATTTATCGTCTTGAAGGCCCGCGGCTACCGTGGTTACTATTGATACCGCTGAAATACCCCTCGTCGATCTTCAATATCCACTCGATCTTCTGGGCTTCTGTCCTCGACGCAAAAAGGAACGTGTTCTGGGCCCCAAATACCGCAAAGACATTAGGTTGGCCGCGCGCAGACAGCCCGTTCCCGCTGGATCCAACTAGCAATCTAGCAAAGTCCGGATCATGGTCGACGTGAGAATTGCGGAGGTTGATGACGTTTATTTCATCACCGTCGGGAACAGAGTAGATGTGTAGATACGGTAATCTGAGTTCGACGAAGCGACGCACCCAAAGACTGTAGGTGTCGTCGGGGGTGTACAAGTAGCCTGATTTAAGTACCGTGGGGTTCTTGGGAATGTGTGTTATTGTAGCGAGGAAGCGGGGTTTGGAGGAAGATCGGTCGGTGGAAGTAGATGTTGATGGCTGAGAGGAGGTGTTGGCGCTGGATATCACGCTGTCGTTGTCTGTGGATGTGGATGCGGTTGCGGTTGGGGCGAAAGCGGCGCCTTGCAGGGGAGGTTCTATGTGGCCTTTTACGAGGATGGTGTCGGTGGGATCTTTGCTGGCGGACCAGAGACTGAGGTATTTGCGTAGTAGCTGTTCGCGTCTCTCGGCGTGTTCGGGGGTATTTCGTTGTAAGGGGGTTGAGTGGCCGTTTGCGGATAGGGGGGTTAAACTGCCGTCACTCAGCGCTGCTCGAGCAGCTTCGATCTCAGCTATGCGATGTCGTCTCTTCCGCGCAGCTATGTAGTCTTTTATCAAAGAGACTTTTCTGGGCGACCAGGTAGTAAGCAGTTCTTCTCCCTTGATGTAGTCGTTCTGGGTATTCATGCGCCATAGGTCCGCTGCGCGTTTCGCAGAGACTGGCCGCACGGCTACAGAGAACATCTGCGAGGTCGAATGGACTACTCGCGTAGAGCTCCAGAACTGCTTGAACATCGACTGGGGCCGAACACTAGATCGACCAAGGATCTGCAGGCACTGGTCTAGCTCAAAGACAATTGGCTCTTGCAAGCGCGAGGAAATCAAGTTCCACCGCAGCGTTATCTGGACCTTATATTTATCCGCCGTCGTGCGATCGAGGAGCAGTGAGCCGTGAGAACTCGAGTCCCACTGTCCTATGATGGTGATATTCGAAGAGCCATCCGCATTATCCTTGACCATGGGCTCTTGGATCATTTTCAGCGGAACATCAGCGGATTTGCCATCGTCTAGGTCAGGGACTTTCCCCCACGGATCAAGTAGTCTGATACCACCGACTCGTAGACCAGTAACGTCGTCCCACGGCAAACTCTCAGTCGAGCTATGCGCCAGATTAACAACGATACGGCGCTGCAGGCCCTGATGAAGCTGATACGTTCCCGCCTCAAGGCTGTTAGCCTGCACGACGTCGACGGGAAGATACTCGCCGTTCTCCGCTAGTTCAAGAATCTGCACGCCAGCAAAGACATCATGTCTTTCTTCCTGGAAGTACTCCGACTCCGCTATACGAGGGGCCTTGCGCTTCTGTGGTGGAGCCTCAGGAGCATCGCGCATTTCATCCCAACTAAGCAATTTGTCAAGATGCATGCTCGACACGAGGGCGAAAATGCTGACTTTCAACGTCGATGTTCGCGGGCTATGGAGCGGTAGACTCATGCTATGCACGCTTTCGAACTGGACTGGGTTCTCGTCGAAGCCGTTTATGATCTGCGTGGTTGTAGCGCCGCCTTCTTCGGATATTCCTGGCACGAACAGCTGGGCATGGACATCCGTGCCTTCACGTTCGGCGAAACCAACTAGGTCCCGCATCACGACGTTGAATTTCAGTGTTGACGAGGGTGCTTGGGCTGCGGAGGGCTCGAGGGAGAGACGGAGTATACCGATGACGTTCTGGGTGTACATTGACACTACTTCGACGGAGAAATCTTGGACCCTGGACTCGAAGACTGCTGTGAGCGGGACGTCCACGTCCCCTACTAGCGAGTATGTGGGTGAACATTGCTCCGAGAAGGGGTTCTCGAGCTTGAAATGCTGGATGTAGTCTGGTCGATCGATGTATTGATGCATCTGCCGCATGGCCTGCACACGACGTTCAAGTTTGTCCAACGACCAGAGCAAGATGACGTTGTGTTTGAAATCGATCACTCGGACGGCGATGCAGGGCTTCTTAGCGTCGTCGAGAGCCATGTCGTCGTCCCCTGATATGCCGTTCAGTACGAGATCGTAGGACGAGCCCATGTTCTGGCCTACGTCGATGATGGCGAATTGGAAAAAGACGTGTTTGTCCATTATATGGCTCATTACTTGCGCTTCTTTGAGGAGCGAGGCGTGTTGGAGGACGGACTCGACCATGCGGACATAGTTTCTTCTTCGCCAGTGTGCGAGGACGTTGCGGGCTACTTCTATCTCGCGTGGTTCGAGGAAGGAGAAGCCAGGTCCGTCCTCCGTCATATGGCCGGATAAATGTGCGATGCCCTTGATCTGCGTTTCAAAGGCTTCCTTTTGGCGCTGGAGCTGCTGCTGGAACTCTTCTCGGGCTTCCATCAGGGCCTTTTCCATTCTCCCCTTTTCCGTGTCTGGTTCGTTGGTGCCGTTGGAGTTGCCGTTGGAGGGAGAACCATTGGACTCGTCGTATTCGCCCTGTTTCGGCGTCCCGGGCATCGTCAAGGCGGTGTCAAGCGAGAAATTGTCAATGGTCCCGTTAGACATGTACTTCTCTCGAATAGGGTATGAGCTCAACGAATCCGAGTCCTCCTCCATATCCAAGAAGCGATTCTCATAGAACCCCTTCCGCACCGCCCTGGCCTTCTGCACATCATCGAACAACGCATCTAGCTCGTCGTCTGTAAGAGCGGATATCTTGTGATCAGTACCTAATATCGCATTCGCAGCTTCTCGCCGAGCATAAAACCAGTCCTCCCGTCCGTTACTTCCGCCTCCTCTCTGAGATGGCATGGGCGAGCCAGAACGGCTCGAGTCACCGTCTATCTCGGAGCCGGTCTTGCTTATGGTTCGATCGTGTCCTGGCCCGGACCGGCCGGGTGTATTTGAGTTTGAACCAAGCTGGCTTGTGGTGACAGAGTGACGGAGGAGGCTCTGCTCTACCCTCTCGGCACGGGCTTCCATGGGATGATTGAAGCGGAAAATGTGGAAATCTCCGAGAATTATTCTGAACCCACTCCTGAGACGCTGGGGACTATCTATTCGTACACCGTTGACCATCACCGCCGCGCCCTCACATGGAATAACAGTGACGATGTTATCCACATGCTCAAAGGTGCAGTGTTTATGCAGTATTTTGGACCCGTTAAGACGTATCTCGCATGCCGAAGATGTGGCGTCAACGTTACCTACCGTTGTGGTACCCGGCTTGATATTGTAGACCAAACACTCTGCCAAAAGGGGATCGTCTGACAAGTTGACTAGATGGGGCATTTTCTTGGGCGTGCTGAGACCGACGAAGCCCTTTTCAATGGAAATGCCGAGTTCTTCGAGCGCGGCCTCTCGCTCCTTGTGAATTTCCTCTGTTTTCTGCAGTTTCTCTTCCCAGGTCTGGTTGAGGTCCTTGTACAGCTTCTCGCTTTGGTCGAGCTGTTCGACGATCTCTGCTTTGCTGACTTTCTTGACTGAACCGTCGGCCTGCATGATGGTAACCATCTGTTCCTCCAGGGGTGTTCCAGGCGGGTATTCCTCCTGCGGTATTCCGGCGGAAGTAGCTGAGGCCGCAGCCCCAGGTACACCAGCCGCCGCGCCGCCACCAAGCTTACTTCTCAACTGCGCGAGTTCCTCCTTGAGTTCGCGAATCATTCTGGCGTTCGGATCCTCGTTGACAACAGCATGGTTCTTGATGCGTTTGGCGGAGTTGGCGTACCGTAGCGTGCTCAGGGTTTCGTCATAGTTGATATCCGCGGGGGAAATAGCTGCAATCATGGCCGTCATGGAGTTACCTCCCAGCGAATCCTTGAGCAGCCATGTCAACACCGAGTCTCGATACGGCACTACAGCCTTCTTCTTGCCCGAGGATAGATCAGCCAGGGCGGCAATGACTCTGCCCAGCGTGGACAGCGAGCGATTGATTTCCGCGCCTTCCTTGAGCCTTGCACCCGTGGCACCCGTGGACGTAGCTCTCTCTGAACCCGCGAGATCCACCAGACTGATCCTCGAGACCTTCTCGGTATCCATGGTAGTCTCCTTATCATGTCTCTTCTGCGTGAGGGTGAGAGTAAACACCGCATGCGATCTACTCGATGTCTCATTCATATTCGTAGCCGCGACCGTCCGCGCCTTATTTCCCTCGTCCATCAAATGCTCTATCTCCGAAAAGCTCTGCACAACCAGCTTCGCCAGATCTTCCACATAGGGCCCCGTGGAAGGGTGCTCGCGCACCTTCAGATTCCCCTTGTTAGCCGGGTTAAGCAGATCCCGCACCCGCTCATTGTAGATTTCCAAATACGACACTTCGACTGTAGACGTGAGGTTTGTGTCCGCGACCTGCATGGCCGAAATACGCTGGAACATCTCCTTGCAGATCTTGGGAATGACGCCTGCCTCTTCGCCGTATCCCATCATGGAGTACGACTTGCCGGAGCCCGTCTGGCCGTATGCGAAGATACAGTTGTTGTAGCCCTGGAAGGCATTGTCGAGCAAAGGCGCACCGAGGTCGGAGAACAGGTCATCTTGTCCGGCGTAGTTGGGGGCTTTTCTGTCGAAGGACCAGTACGATTTGTCGAAGGCGAAGACGCGGGGACCCTCGGGGGCAGCGTTGGCTCCTGTATTAGAGGATTTCCCGCCCTTTCGAGACTTTTCTTCGGCGCCGGGGGGAGGGGTGAGCACCGTCTGGGCGCCTTTCATTTGGACTATGCATTTTGCATTCCGGTCGCGTTCTACAGCAGTTAGCTGGACGTTACCTATTAGAAGGGAAGAGGAGGAGATATATACCCCTTGAGTTGAACGGGCGAACGCGCACGACGACCTTGATGTTTCCTCCGCCGCCCTCCATGGTGATTGGGCTGGGGGCAGGTGTCAGGCGAGGGGGGGAGCGCGGTAAAGGAGGAGGTAGAAGAGGTGGTGGTGGTGGTGGTGGTGGTGGGAGCGGAGAGACGGGGCAGACGGCAGAGGGAGGCTGCCATCTACTCCGGCGACGAGAGCGCGTTGAGCCGGTGGATCGTTAAACTGTTGATATTGTCTGCAGAGTAAATAAAAGTAGGCCGCGATGTTGTAGATTGCATGGATGAAGGTCGAAGTAGAGGTGAACGAGCCACAGTTAGTCAGCACAGCCTCATTAGTCATCCACTTTAAACCACCGCTACTATCAGATATTACTATCAAGACACTCAAGATGCTACTATTATAGAGATAGTATGGAGAAGATATATATGTATATACCGAGCTTGATTTGCATCATCACATCACTCTTATCGACAAGACGCAACTAATTAACAAACAAGAAAAGAAAGATAGACAAAACAATACATAGGATCGCCCTAGACACTCTTTAGCTTCAATTTTTTCAGATACACGCGGGAATAGACAGACAAAAGAGAGAACAAACGAAATAGACAGATAAAACAAAAGAAGAGGAAAAGAAACCGGTCCATCCTATCCTATCCATCCGCCGCGCTCATGCTGAAAGAAGAGGAAAAGACGAAACAACGAGATGAGAGGACTAAGCGAGATAGACGAGACGACGACGAGAGGGGTATAATGATATGTATATATAACGGAAGGAAGCAGCAGAAATCGACCCAGCGAGCCAGGAGGTGGAGGAGATGGAGGTCAGCCATCTTCGTCCTCGGCGTCACTGGTCTCGGCAGGGGCAGCAGCGACGTTTGCATTGGCGCCTGTTCTAAGGGGGGATGTTTTGGCCTTCTTGGAGCCCGGAGAAGAGGAAGACTCGGCTATGCTCTTCCTCTTCTGGCCGGTGACTTCTTTGTTCTCGTTGGTGGAGGCAGAGTTATTTGTGGAGGTGGATCCGCCCTGTGCCTTTTCCATGGCGGCTACTTCGTCTGCGGTCAAGAAGCGGCCTCCTGGACCTCTGGGCCTGCGCATGGCGTGGTTGTGTCGTGATTCATGCAGGTAAGGCTTGCGGCCCTTGGAGGTGAGACGGAGCTGTTCTTCGAGTTTTTGGCGGGCGACGCGTCGCTTGAGGATGCGATGGAACTGTTTTGCGTTGACGTAGAGGGGGGATTCTTCTGCGGGGGGGCCGGGGGGAGCTAGT